AGAAGACTGTATTTTTTCTACATAACCCCCCTGACTTTAAAGCTGGATCCGCCCCTGGCTGAGGGTCTATTTTTTGACACACAGCTCAACGGAAGGTTCACATTAAAGGCCGGGACACATTTATCCGATCATTCACTCGGACCAAGATCTGAGAGATAAATGGAATTTAGACTTCGGACGCCGTAGATCTCATCTTCCCGCTACCCATCCGATCCGTCTCCGTTCTTGTATCCGATCATCTTCCGATTATGGTGCCTATCCGATGGTTATTCGTTATCTGATTGCGGGATTGGTTTCAACACAATTGAAAAAAATTAGCTTAATTAAATCTGAGAAGCTCATTGAAGAAGTGAGGAAATATTCGGTACTGCATGATCAGGCCAGAGAGCAGTATTGCCTTTTTAAAACAGGTGTCTTCTTTGCACATTTCGCTGCGGTTTTTTTCCAAAAGACTAAACGCGACAACGGACATTTTAAAACATTGATGGAATTTAGTTCCGTGGTCTAACAAATGACGAAAAAGTGAGGCAAGCTCTCATTCATGAGGTAGAGCCAAAATAAGCCACCATGGCCATTCGCCAAAAAGTCACATTCGCTAAAATAATTAAACATTTTTTGAAACTACTGCTGCAATATTGCTAGCCTTTAGATTAGCGAGTGACTACCGTATATGACTATCAGCGCCAAAAAAACGACGGCTCCTTTCCGATCCCGCAACGATCCGAGTGTTTGGGCATCGACGGAAGATGCTCTGATCGGAGCCGGATCGGATACATGTGTCCCGGCCTTTAGTCAGTGCACGTTTATACTGAATCTGAACTTTTTTCGAATATTTTATTAGATTAGGCTAACTCTTGAATTCAACTGTTGTTAGATTGCTGCTAGAAAAATTTACTTTACTCAAATTCCGGAATTGAAAGTGCCTTACCTAGTTCAGTATTACAATATGAACACTTTTTTTTGCCACTGACACTCAACATGGTATCTTGAATAATGTCCTCAGTAGATTGTGGACAAAACGACCCTGAGGGCATTGCATGACCCATGGCTTGGGGATGGTTTACGTAGATGGGGTAGGGATTGTAATCCGTACTCAAAGCAGGCTCAATTCTAAAAGTAACAATCAATCTCACATTAAAAAATGAACTTACATAGCAATATATTAATTACCTCTTCCTGGGTTGTGCTCTATCAATCAATCCACTACGATTCTGAACCCTTTGAGTTATTGTTTGTATAACAGAGTCTGGAAGAGGTTTTTCGTGTTGACTGCTTCTAATGGGCGAAGTCGCTTTTTGATGATGTTCAGATAGTCTTCGCAATTCCGCTTCCTAAAAGTACATTAGAATCTCGAAAATTATACATCGATAGACCACAAAAATTAAATTTACCTGGATAACCCAATGCTGACTGTAACTTTTGGCGCCTGGTGGTGTTGCTTTTGAACCAGCCCAATTTTCTGGATGACGATTCTTCGGTATAGCGCTTAGTTGTTTCAGGTTAGGCTTCGCTAAAATCCTTGGCTTCGGATTCGGAATGGTTCTCAACGGTTTAGTGCTGGGTTTAATAGGTTGCCTGTCGAACGTTGGAGGAGACGTAAATCCTAGTCCTCTGGAGTCATGTTTTAATTCTGGCATTGATTTTCTATGATCCATGGCTAGACGGTTATTTCTGACAAAACCTCTTTGTTCCGGGGCGGACGATTGATATGCATGCTGGATATCAGGTGTGGATTGCATGCATTTAATGGGCTCAATATTTTCATAATAGGACGAACTAGCGTTACCAGCTGATTGCTGGAATTCGGTGGATAAATCAGGAAGCGACTTTCTGTACTCTGATTTAGAATAATGAGGATATATATCATCGCATATGTTTTCCAGGGAATGTCTGTTGGCTAATCTCGCTCTATTACGACTTTCTCTAAATATAATATTTTCGCGTTGCCTTTCCAACTCTTCTTGTTCTAGCTGCTGTAACTCCCGTTCGACTTTTAGTACTTCTGAGTCTTGGTCATCTATATAATGTGGTGATGCCTAGGGAAGCAAAATCCAGAGCATTATTGAAATGATGCTACTTAAATCATAATAGCATTAATTTATCAACAGAATGCAAAATGGGACAATGCTTTATTCTATGCATACAGGCAGCTAGTCATTATTACCTAAATAACCTTTATTACTCGTTTGCATCAGCAAGTTTGATTATAAACTTTCGCCCAGAGTCTTTTGTTGAATTAGTGAGTTGTGTGTAATCAGAATTATATAGATCTTAGATGAATTACATTTTTTTAACACTAATCTCCATTGCTTATGTGCCTTAAGACATTCAATCGAAGCTAAATTAACAGTAGCTTTTTGCAATTTAAAGCGTACGCTTCATTGATTGTCTAATAAATAAAAAAAAATTTCTGAGATTATTAATATCAAATCATTATTCAACCATATCAAGACAAAATTGTATCAACTCAAAATTAGTATTTACATCATACATTTGAATACTAAGGGATTTCGTCATAAGTATACAGACCTTACTTTTTAAAGCAGAAAACTAGATTTAAGAGACACCAATATTGATGGAAATTTGCAATGTTTAACATTTAAAATTTCAAAGCAACGAACTCAGCCGCACAATTATACAAATTTTCTTTCAGCAAAACAATTAGAAATCTACTTATTGATTTTATAAGATTTTACTTTCGATTAATTTAGAAATTTATTAATAGAAACATACCTCCGGATAATATGGATTGCAGAATTTCTCGCTCCCTAAGGTGTGCTCAGAGCTCCGGATATTATTTGTGTATTTGGCTTGGTTAAATTGAGAATTGGAAATGTAGTTGACTTTGCTTTTAGATTTCTCTTCTTTTTCCACCATTTCGATAATCTCCCGTTCCTTCTTCGTGATTTCGTCTTCCTCCGAAGTTATGCTGTTTGTGTGCTGGAAATAAAAATGCATTTCTATAAAGTATGCAACAATATCAGTTAGCTATATCTCACTTCACTATCCTGCCTGTCATGGCTGGGTACACTACTGCACCAAGTGTCACTAGATAATCGCCCTCGATCAATATCCAAACCTGAATCTTGGCTCTCAACTTTGCTCAGTGAACCAGTATTTGATTCATGATCTAAAATTTTTCTATACAGCGACTTTTCCTGCTTTGTTTCTTTTGGTTGGTATGAGTTGTAATCTAGTGATTTTTCAATAATCTGGTCATTGTCAAAGGCATTTTCTTGGTCTAATCCTAAAAAGCTGGATCTTTTACTGTTGATCTCTTTTTTAATTCTTTTAGTCGAGTTTAGTCGTCGGAGAGGCTTTGGAGTAGATTCTCCATTACCATCTTCAACAGGAGGAGGCGGAGGTGGTCTAACGTTGGGTGGTTGCAATTTAGTAGATGTTAGTGGAAAGTCTCCTGTGAAAATATCTATCGGTAAAAAGTTGGTGTCAGACAAAGACCTAAATTCAATATCTTGATTCAACGTAGACTCAGAGACACTGTCTCCATTTCTTTTTACGTCGCGTTTCTCATCTGAATTGCTCTTCTTTAACGCTTTTTCTGTGTGTTTGGCGACATCTTGATTAGCGATTTCTAACGTCGCATCTTTAATTAGAGAATCCAAAAACTCTTTGGTGAAGTCGATAATATCATCTCTTGTAAAATCACTCTTGGACTCGATATTGTCTTGATTAGTGTTCACAAATGTAGCTGGCAATAAGGATTCTCGAATAATTTCGGGATTTGAACTTTGTTCCTCGGTTTTTTGCAACTTCTCGATGCAACTTGGAATAGTGTTAAAAATTGCTTCAGCGTACGTATCTATAGGCTCATCAGCTTGACTGACTGAGCATGATACATCGGCAGTATGTATGCCACTGTCTTCTCTGTCTGACAGTACCCCCGCTAAGTCAACAGACGATGTAGAAGGAGGATAAGTAGCATTCGAAGTGCAATAATCACCAATATTATCATCGACAGATTTCGAACCCATTAAATTGTTTAAGTTGTTATGGAACATGTCTAATTTGTCTAAATATGTTTCAGCTTCTGGACTTGAACTCCTCTCACTTGCTTTCCAGAGTCGTTCAGGCTTTGTGTAAATTTGAAATGATGGAGTACTGACAGATTTATCTAACGAGTAGCTGCTTATTTTTGATCTCTCCAATTCTTTATTTACAGGTTCAATTCGCCGGTTAAAGCTAGCCAACCGATCTTTTACAGACACCTGAAATTCACTTTTGTCAATTTTAGTTAGGGATTGGTCTGTGGCCGATTCTAAACTTTTTAATCGATCTTTTAAACTCCTTGCATTGACAAAGTCTTCGGATACTCTTCTACAACTCGTGTATTCCATATGACCGATTTCCATGGATTTACTTGATTCAAACAATCCTTTTCTCTTTGAAATTTCTCCTTTAGGAAGAACACTTTGAGCTTCAGAATATTCTTTGGATCTATTCAGCACTTCTTTTTTGCTGAAAATATATTCATCTACTTTAATCTTTTTTTGAATTCTAGATCTGTAATCTTCAATCGCTCCTTCATAGGTATATTGTTTCGAATTGTCAGTGGTGAAAGTATCTTCGACAAAACTATTGTCATATTTGGGTTTTGAAGATTTTGGAGACATTTTTGGGGGAACTTCTGGAGCCGTGACATTTTTGGGCGAGCGCGTATTCACATTGCTATTAACGTATACTTCTCTATCTTGACTTTTGGTGTAGCTTTTGGTGGTTTCATCTTCACTTTGAATTGAAATTCCGGGATTCTTCTGTTTTTCCTGCAAATTATAATCATCTTTTTCGTCCTACAAAGCCAAAGAAATTGATAATGTGCCGTGTTTAACTTGAAGTAGGACATACCAAGAGGCTGGAGCTATCATCAGTATGGTCATCTTTTACGCTATTTGCCTTCGAACTACTACTGCAAATTCCGTAATCACTAAAATTATTGGAATCATCATCATTGTAGACAGGTATTGTTACTTTTGGTCTTCCTTTGTGACTCCTGTAAATGAAATAACGTACCTCAAAATGGTTCAGCTGTGTCATTAAGAACTTAAGGCAATTAATAGAATAGAAGAGAAATTCAGTTCCATCCATTTGTTAAAATTGGACTTTTCTGATACATTTTATATCAGGTAAAATCAGTAATAATGTGTGAAACATATGAAAACATTTTGTAAAACAATTTAAAATTGCTGCGAAAAGGATTTTAATAATGGCGGGACGTTTGATCGATTTAAAATCAAAGAAGTCCAATTCTGGCACCACTGAAAACGACTTGTATCTTGACTAGTCCCCAGGACACGCGAGAAAAGTAACAAAAATTCTCCTGGGCTGCTGGTTAGTCTCGCTAAAGAGTTCCCACAAGCCCGTTAGGATCAAGGACTTCCTAACAGGGAGAGCTGATTAAGAGATACTTGCTTGAGGGGATTGACAAGCTGCAATCAGGGACCATTTCTTCCCAATTTGTAAGGAGGGTCACTCTCCTAATCATATGCTCAAAGCGGATCACTATGGTATGGAAAAGCGTGGTTGTGACGCTCGCGAGATCCAGACGTAGAACGCGTAACTTGGGCTCATGAGGGCAGGCAAGCTTTAGAAACGAAAATGTGCAGTGGTAAAGAAGAACTTACGGCTATGGTCAAGAACCCAAACACAATAAAACTCATGCATGCATGAACCTCGTCCAAAATTCTTGTGGATTTCATGGGATATATAGAAATAGTGCGATCTCAGCGACGAGAAAATGACTTTAGACGATAAGCCTCCAGGCCGGGGTCCCACACAACCCAGAGCGCCAAAACACCAGCTCTGAGAGAAGGATAAATAAAAAATTCTGCAAAATTGTCGTCTACATTCGATACCAGATTGTTGAATCTGAGCTGGTCCACATCAACTTCTTTGTCAGTTTCCTAATAGGATTTTGTGAGTCGCTTTATGGTATAAAGAACATTTTAAGCGATCTTCTGTCTTGACACCAAGACATCCAGGAAAGCTAGTTATGTGGTTGTTTCACTCTACTTCCATAGTACAGCTTCCAGGTAAGCTTCCGCGTAAACGTCTGAAGATGTAAGTCACTCGTGCTTGTGGAACGTTAGAAATATATTTTATTTCCCGACGACCTAAGAGCACCAAAAACATTTTCGATAAAAATGAGATCCTTTGAGCTAAGGGAAGTTTATCAAGATTGAAGCGTGTAGTGTCAAACTACTTTTTAAGTGTGAAGGGGATATCATAATTATTCTGTATTAAGACAATTTTCCGTTAACGTAAGACTTCCATCTTGGTTGAACCACTTGAAGTTTTCTGAAATTTCTCGGTAAATCTCTCTCTGGGAAAATATTGCATATACTCTAATCGACAGACGAGACAACCTGAGGGTGGAAGTCTTCACTGAGTCGCATCGTTCCCCATTCAAAATCGAACCTTGTCTCCCGGAAAATGATTCTGCAGTAGTTAGAGCAAATACGTTGTTACGAACATAAAGTTGTTGCATTTTATAGCACAAACTACATGGTGAGATTATCTACTATGGAGTGGTGGAGTGAATTCACACTGTAAATTAGACGCTAGTTTAAATCGGACGTACAGGCAAGATTAACATGCAAGTTTCGCTCAGATCTTCAAAACTAGATGTATTTTAAAATCGGGTTATTAAGCCAGATATTTAGTTAAATTAAGTTCACGAAATTTTATCACCGCAAATACATCAATATATATTATATTACGGGCTTTATAAAACCATTTGGTTTTACTGCATAATATACATTTTTAATGCGACATGAATAAAAAGTATAAAGTAAATAAAAATAAAATATTGCCTTACCTTTCTTTCAACATCTCACTAAAAGTCTTGCACTTTCTTCTGCTTTTCTCCAATTCTTCTTGCTCAGTCAATTTTTTCACTTCAACCACCCTTTCTATTATATGTTCTTGCCTTTTTCTTCGACAACTTTTCCAATTATCCAAGTTCTAGAAAAAAAAACAGTATAAGAAAACGAAAATTAACAGGGAAAAAATCAGCAGTTCAACTAATTATTATTTGGACTGACCGTACCAAATTGGATACCAAAAATGTGTTTTTATCTGCATCGGACAATATCAGAAATGGAGAAAATCACCAGTAAACGTAAAGAAGTAATAGACACTTTTTGACCCCAAATTTTGTTTCCAATCAAAAGCAGTGAGACCTGTGAAGTGTGATACTTTATAGTCTGCGGCATCCCAGAAGTGGGACGGTATATTTTGTACTCTTCTAATAAAAACTATATTTTGGGACTTGCTTGCGGTATTCTCTTCTCTTTACCCTACCTAATCCATCCGCAAGTAAGTCAAAATTACTTTTCTATATTACTGTGTGCAAAACACAATGTTCGGCTACATATCCGTTATGTTATTGCGTAATCATTATTCCCCTTACTGCTCAATAAAATAAACAATTCTTAACTTGTATTTCCCGAAAGGAAACATTAGTTTCAGCTTAAAAAAATTGTCCTTACCTGCTGCCAGTCTTCGGTTTCATCTCGGATTTCTTTTCTCTCCTTTTTAATCTCTTCGACTTTTTTTACCTGTTCTTGTGCTTTTTTAACTAAGGGTGGCGGTGCGAGTTTCACAAATTGCAAGGGATTGGTCGCTGGTTTCGGCGGGGGTGGTCGTGTTATCCGGCATTTTCTTGGGACATATTCAGTATTGGAATTCTGAAAGAAAAATGATCATTAATGCATCATAAATGATTTAATATTATAAATAAATAAAAGAAAATGCATAAGAAACATGAAGTAATATTCTTTTAACTCATAGCTTTTCTAAGCAAAAATCCATCCTAAATAAACCATGAACTGGGCCTTTATTTTGATAAAAATGTTTAAGAACCTTCCTTGCAGTTTTTCGGCAATCGGCACTTAAGTGTGAAGGATAAAAACTAACAAGATTTGCAAAATTACGTTATTCACACCGGAACAGACTTATTCTGTTAATAAAATATACAGAATAAGTATAAGTGTTGATAATACGTATTGGAACGCTGGGGAACACTATCATACAACACAGACTCGTAATGATCGAGTTTATATGTTGAAAAATTTCCGAACAAAAGCATCTCTTTCAAGCATTTTCACTTTCCTGCACTAAAAATGACGAGAAACCGGATCAATATTGGTTGAACTTTGGCCACCCCGTTTTTACAGCTAATTGGAAATTTGTAAAAAAATACTAAATACAAAAGTTGTAGATATTAACGTCTAGTTTATTTTGAGATAACACCAATTTATACAGGGTGTCTCAAATTCAAGTAGTGGACCAAACTTATTCTTTTTTTATATGGAATGCCGCACTTTTTATTGAATATTCGAACTTTGCGCAAAATTCTAGGCCTCTTCGATTTAAATCTTTTATATTGATCTTCAACTGTTTTTGAATTAAGAACCAATATCGATCGAAGTTTGGCTACTCCGTTCCTGCATTTAATTTGAAATTTACAGAAAAATATTAAACACGAATGTTTTAGATATTAACGTTGTTTATTTTAAGATAATACACACGCTGGACTAACTGGTATTATTTTAAGATAAAATCAACGTTAAAATCTACAAATTTTGTATTACGGTTTTCTCTAAATTTTAAATTAGATGTAAAAACAGAGTGGCCAAAGATCAATCAATAATGGTTATTAACACAAGAACAGTTGAAAATCAATAAGGAAGATTTATATCGAATAAGCCTAGAATTTTGCGCATAGTTCGAATACGCAATAAAAAGTGCGGCATTCTATATAAAAAAAAATAAGTTTGGTCCGCCACTTGAATTTCAAATTAAATAGTAGTTAGTAAAAAGGAGGTGACCAAAGTTCAATCAATAACCCTGTACATAACATTTAGAAACTTTTTTGCCTTTTCTATTCAATGTCTGTAAAACTAGCAAAGGCGCTGTATACGTTTTTCAGCAGTATAAAGCTTTCTTGTTACTTCGTAAATTCATAAAAACTGACCCCGTTTTATTTACATTCTATTTCAATAATATTACATACACTCGTTTTCAATTTACAGCACAGTTTACAATTTTACCCGTCCTGGATATGTGCTTATGGCACATTTTACATATGAAATCATCTAAAACAATGCTTTCTATAGCAGAAAGATTTTTCCCGTTCTCGAACGTTCATTGAAAGACAATGTGAAATGTGAAAATTTTCGATTGCTTGCCCATTGAGGGACACTTTGAATTCACACATTTTACTCTAATGGATTAGACATTTCCGAGAAAACTTCAGTGTGGAATTTATAATAAAGCGATTTTACAGTCCCGATACAATTAGCGTTTAGAAATTAATGAATGTAGACATTATCGAAAAGATAATAAAGGAAGCGTGCAAAATGGCGTTAACTCGAACACGGTGTCTACGATTGTGTTATCGCTGTAGTCCATAACAAAATTTGTGAAAACAAACTATTATTCACTTCACACAAATTATTATCACTCTATATGTTATAGTTGCAACATTGAATAGAACCTAACGTTGTTTTTCCATGTTTTCAATTAAAAACTTGGCCAAATTATAAATTATATGAAGCAAGCACGTGGCGCGTAACTCTTCATCAGTTTATTATATCTCATTCTTTTAAAAGTTTTAAAATGTTGTTGTGCAGTGTTTGTATTGTAATTACAGTGGCATCCGGTACTATCAGATATATCAGATCAAAAAATTTCTTCACGCCTGTTGCAATTTGCTTAAACTGTTACTTCACAGGACATGAAATACATTAGCACTATGTTCTATGCAAGTGGAAGACTTATTTTGTAATTGCTACTAATCTATTGTAGTTAATTTGTTGATCGAATTACGTGAAAACCTACGTAATCTGCGCATTCAAGTGCTGAAAATGATACGTAACAATTTGTACGGATTTACGGTTTGAAAGGTGAATCAAATCTCTCAAGATTATAGACCATTACATTACTCGTTCAATATATTAGGATTGCATGTCAGTTAATTTATGCCTTGTTGCAAAATGGACACATTGGCAAGAAGTGCAGTCTATTTCGCAAAAATATAATTGTTCACTAGATTTTCTGTTAATTAATATAAATACGTTTTAATAGCCCAACGCAACTAGTAATTCATGGACTAGTAAGTTTAAGACAGGGAATAACATTCATTACCATGAAATAATTCAGTGTAAATTAATACCTATGATATATTTAAGTTCATTTAAACATAGTTTACACAATAAATTGACGAATTGGATAATTAAAAAAAGTGGACGGTGACTACTATTGGCAAAGTGAATTGAATTTGGCGAAAGAAGGGAGTCTAACTTTCTGCGGGCCATGAAATTCTTTTCTACAGCATAGTCCACATACGTATTGAAATGAAGTCGGGAGTATAGTTTGAATCTCACGTATTTCACCTTTTACCGACATGACCGAACTCGCCGCCGAATCTATAAATCCTGACAAAAACCAACTTAGGAAACCATGGATATCGTAAAGCACTTGGGAAATGATCCCTGAACGAAACAATTTAAAAAGAAAGCAAAGGACCTAAGGAAAACGCAGACTAGGACACATATAGGTAGAGAACTTAGCAAAAGCATAATCAGACGGTTTAGGTTAGATGCGTATATTGCTTTAATATGTGAGGATATTGAAAAACATGCAAACGAAAACCAATCACGTGATTAATTTAAAAACATGAAGATGCTTCCAAACACCTTCCACGCCCAGTACCTTCCAATTAAAGATGGTAAAGATCAACCGGTGCTAGAGTGACTACGACAGCTGGAATTGCGAGGATCTTATGGCCTTTGAAGATACTGATCTACACGAAAACTTATCGCTTTATCGCTGGCGAAAATCGCCAGGCTCAGACAATATTGTAGAGGAAATTAAAATGCACTGGAGACAATGGTACTGCCAAAAAGTACGGAAAACTGGAAAATTTCCAGAAGAATGGACGAAATCTGTATATATTCCACTACACAAAAAAGGTCCAAAAGACGAATGCAGAACCATTGCGTTGATAAATCACGCAAGCAAAGTGTTTCTCTACATCTATATCACACAAGAAAGGTCCAAAAGCTACATCCTTCCCAATATACCCCCAGCAGTACCAGGTCGAGCAACAAAAGAGTAAATTCTAGATGTGGGACACGGTGCATTGGAAGAAACGATGGCTAGACTTAAAAGAAATGGGAGTTCCCGACCTACTAATCTACCTTATTAAACAGCTATATGACTGCAATCTAGCACAAAAAAAATATAAAAAGAAATACTCAGAGAACTTAAGAGTAGGAAAAGGCGTAAGGCAGGGATGTATTATATGTCCTATACTCTTCAATATTTATGGAGAATTGAAAATGAATGGCGCTGGAGAACTGGAAGGGTGGAGAATCTATTGGCGGGAAAAAGATGTCGAACCTTCGATATGCAGATGACACTATTGCAATACTAAAAATGCACTAGAAATGTACGAACTCCTACAAGGAATCGAGTAAATAAGCCTGGAATGCGGACTGCGACTGAATAGATCGAAATGCCGCTTGATGATTATAGACCGGTCAGGAACGGTTCCTCTACTACTCTTGCAGAAAATCCATGACGTAAAAGTTGAAAAAGAGGTCATCTATTTGGGAGCGAAGACAACAAATAAAAGATGACTTGGGATGGTGAAGTAGACCCTGAAAAGGCGAGCTAAATTAGGAAAGACCACCGTATCTTCAAGGAAACTAAGATAAAACTTGGGAAATCTCTCGTGTTCCTTATAGCAGAATATGGCTTGGAAACCTGGATCCTAAATGCAGCATGTCGAAGAACAATAACAACAAACAAACTAGAGAAGAATGCTGACAATACCTTGGACAGCGTACTACACTAACGCGACTTGAGAATACGCGACTAGAGATTACTACCAACAATCCAGCGACGTATGCTTGCGACTTTTCGGTCATGTAATACGGAAGAACAGTATGTAAAAGCTGACGATACAGGGGAAGGTTGATGGCAAAAGGTCCAGAGGGAGATCACCAGTGAGGTATACATATAGACCAAATAAAATATTTCACACAAATGTCGGCGGCTCATGTGATGCGTACTGTAGAAGACAAAGGAGAGAAGCATGGCGAAACATCACTATGCAATCTCTAGGTCCAAATCGGACAACCACTAAAGAAATGTTGTCGAAATCGTTACCAATGCTTCTTGATTTGGTTTTTCGCGTCTAAAAGATGGTCACACCGATGCCTATTCGAAACTTTTTAGGCTAAATCTTACTGCGTAAATTGTATATTCCTTGCCAGACCGTTTAGTACTATCGAGAGTCTCGACAGTATGAATATGATCTGAAATACGTGTCAGTACGTCTAGTCTCTTCCGATAGTTACAAAAATTAAATTTTTCGAACGAATATCAAGTGATACAAAAGAATACTGTGTTTTATATATTAAGGTAAATGGGCAAAAGTCCTTTAGCAATTAAGAAGTCAAGGAAGGATGGAATACTTCGGATATTGCGTTACAGGCAGTTTAGATAATGCGGACAGGTTAGGCAATTTGTTGATTTTAATGAATATTTGGATGTCAAATTAAGTTAGCTTTTCGAAATTCGTAAGTAATCCACTGACAAATTCACATTTCTTTCGTATGATGAACATAAAATTAATACGTGTTCATAAAATATTCATTTAGAAATTTGGTGGATCGTAATCGTATGGCTCCAAATTAAGCGCAACAGTATTTTCCAGTATTATCAACTGACTACTGTTTAAACTAGGTGTTTTATTTTATAACCGGAATTTATTCCCATAACCAGCCCATAAAAACTGTTCCAATAATTTTTATGAGCTTTGTTCGTTTGGTTGAGATGATTTGTCCACACTCAAAATTAAAGGTCGAATCTTAACATGTTACCATTGCGTTGAGAGGTGCATAGATAAGAGTATTTAGGTGTAATCGGTGTGATAGATTCTGGTTGCAAAACATATGTCACATTACTATATCAACTGTCATTTGCAAAACTGCTAAGCTACTGGCTACAGCACCGAATCTTGTTATTAGAGTACAACTATACACCAAGACAAGCTACACATGGAGAAATATGTCTTGATTCGGGGATGCATATTTGAACATTTTATTCATAATTTACAATTTTGCTGTGCTTCCAGAATGTAACTAATTATTTTAGAAACGCCCACTAACACAGATGAACTACGGTATTTATTTGTTTTTTATTACATGGTGACTCATCACATGCAAAGTGGGAGTTAACGGATTATGCACATGCCACATTTATGGACAAGGAACCATTCGAAATAATGAACTAACAATCCAACGTAAACTATAAGTAACAGAACCTGTATAGTCGAGCTGAACAAAATTGAGCGAAATTTAAATGACCTAGATATAATTAGGCGGAACCACGGAAACATCGATAGCTATCACAACACAAAGGTGTTCCGAAAAAGCTGCAGACATCAAGGCTGCAGCAACAAATGGAAACAATTACAGAGAAACATATAGAGAACATACGGGGTGTCAGTTTGAAAATTTCCCACCCGTAATATCTTTCTTGTCGTTAAAAATCTGAAAAATCGGTAAGACACCCACTAAGAGGGGTAGATGTCACCCTTAAAATCTTAAACGGGAATGACGGTCAAGTGGCACGACGTTTTAAATGGCGTTTTACCAAATTTTAAATTTCATATACTTATTCGAGTGTTTGCAAAAACACCGACCCGGTTCTACCAGAACATAAAATCGTTTCAGAGTTGCATCATGGTGATCTACTAGCCCAGTACTCACTTAACAACGTGTTAATATGAGCAAACAATAAATAAACAGTAACAAAATTACAATAAAGGTGAGTCAGTTTTAGCATTCCTGGCTTGCAAGGTTTTATTGTCGTCGGTGATTTTGCGTATGTTGTTATGTGATCACAAATAAATGTAAGTTGCTTTCAAGGTTTCACATTAGAATTGCAACTACATTAGTAAAAATCTATAATTTATACTATGTGTGCATTGGCACTTCCACACAGGTAGTACAATAGTCCCAACAGATAATGAAAATAAGGGAATTTAAAATTTTTCCAACGTATCTCTTCAACGTGGTACTAAAACATTTGTCAAACCCTTTGATTAGATGCCCCCTTTGATTAGATTTAATGTACCTCGAAAAATGGATAGCATCATTTTATCGAAATTCGGCAGTTTCCGGCATACATAAGACTAAAAGACTAAGAATCACATACGAGTCAAGGATCAAGGGTGTAAAGATTCAGTGGAGGAGAGTGAAAAAAGGTGACAGTTGATTCCAGTAAATACTGGAATTGTAAATATTGCCTCCAAGCTTGTGTTTTTATTGCGAATACTCCATAACAACCAATATTTAAAAAGGCATTCGGGTATGTACCTATAAATTGTGTGCTTGGTTGAATCAAGCATTTTCGGTAGGCTAAGAATAGAATATATAGCAAGACTTGCCAAGATATTTTGTAATAGTAATGGAAGAATGATGGTAATACATAAACCACCGCAGTGCAGGGGTTATTGATTTATTTATTATTAACACATTTGGGAAAGTATGGCTCGGTTCTACGGTTAGATTCGCATTGTCCCAACCTCATCAAGGAAAAGTGAGACGATACAATCCCATGCGTTTGAATTTTATGTTAAAAATAGTACCATAGCATGGGCAAAAATCAATTGGATCGACCTGCAGTGGGTGGTGAACAAGAAGGGCCTTTGCCAAGAGTGCTATTTTCGCTGTTGTTAATATGGGTCATACCTACTTGTCAGGAAATAAACGAGAGAAGCACTTAAGACAAAGTCCCAAGGCTAAAATGCCGAGACCAAGCCTGAAGTTCAGGAGATTCGGTCCTCCATTCATTCTACTATTATCTAACGAATTTGTTTATTGTTGAGCTGAACTGGGTCAAGTTGCATCGGCTGTGGCATTTCAATTTTTCAAAATTATGCAAGCTAATTTTTGGCCGAATAACCTTTCTCAGGGTGTAGGCCCAAATAAATGAAATTCAAGCACGAATGAAACGAATTGCAACGATCGAACTGTGAATTGTGATTTAGTAGGATCACTAGTAGAATGGTGTTGATTAGATATACTCAATCAGCGTTTAGTCAATCAAATCACTTTGCGCTTAGTGAAACTCGGAAGTGAGAAAGTTGGCAAAATACGTCAAATGAGAATTTTACTTAGTCGAAGTAAACGAGATTTGAACGAAGTTCATTATAAGTGGTTATGGACGGAGCCTGCAGAATCAGACAACCACTTTACTGTGACTTCCTGAAATGAAAACATTACTATTAGTACCATGACCTACTGAAGAGACAGAAATAGCAATATGTGCCATCAATATTCCGAATGGAAAAAAAACCGAGATCCTTGTATATTGTAACAAGGGTAGAAAAGATAGCCGGTCGAAGATGCAGCTTGTCGCGTACTTGTAGCCCATCGCTACTAATGTAAAATATACAGAGCATAGCAGAATAGAACAGAAAGTGAGACTATAGAAAAATATAAGTGAACAACTCTATTAGAGTATCTCCAAATATAAATTATATTCACACTTATTAATTACTTAAGACTGACCATAAAAAACATTTTTTTTTATTCTGCATTTTCTCTGTATCGAATCAGTAAAAATGCAACAAACTCACTGGCAAATAAATAATCGGACGCACTTTAATTCGACTAATTAGAAGTAACAACTTTCAGCTTTGACACCGGCCTTTATCCTTCTTGTCTTTGAATCCACTAGATTCTGGCAATATTCTGGGGTGAGCGAATTCCAAATTTTAGCTGTTTTTGCCTTTAATTCCGGAATTGTTCGCTGGGGATTGTTATGCAATGATTTCTTCTTTCGATACCAGAAATTTTCTATCACATTCAAGTCCCGACTGCTTGAGAGCCACTATAAAACTTTGAAACCATGATCTCCAAACCACTTTTTGGTAGTTTTAGCTGTATGAAAAAGTGCACCATCCTGTTGAAATATGCAATTTTTGATTCCAAAATATTATTCCATAGTTGAAACTAAACTTCTTGATAAAATTTGTTGGTACTTTTCTGCATTTACAGTTGTACATACATATAACCTCTTGGAGAAATTTGCCTGTACGCTTTATGAAAGGCGTCTGATTTTGTTGAAATCATTTTTTTTCCCTAAAATCACGCATACGCATTCGTCAAATTTTGATTCCTCACCAAGAATAACGTTACTCCATATTTCCGTTGTCCAAAATATGTTAGATTTGCCACAATTCAAACGTTTTTGCTTTTGGATAGCTTTAAATCGAGGCTTTTCCATTGCCTAAAGCAAAAGCAGATAAAAAAATTATTATTTTATATTGAACCCCATCAAATAATAATCTTCTTTATAAAAACTGTAACCAGATTTCATGCAGCCATAATCTGTTGCATTCACACGATACATTTAAAGTCGCTTCCTAACTGCACAGAGATTGAATTTCTCGTAGGATGCTTTTCCTATTGGATCTGCGGATCTTTATAAGAACACAACGTTCTCTTTCCGGAAATAATACGGGGTCGTCCTGAACGTTTACCACGAACAGCAACACTAGCAGTCTCTCCGAACTTTTTTATAACACAATTAATAATATTTAGATCATTTCAAACTTTCTGCATTGAGAAATTATAATTTATCTTAGCTTTTTATCTGTTGCAACGCCATGCGATATTTTCGCATACTTTTAGGTGAAATTATGAAACTTATCCAACTCAAACTGACATATACTAATCTAAACACACTTGGTTTATTACTAGATGCATGCGTAATATTCATATAAAAGTTTAATTGGGGTTGTATAATCGTCCAGTTGTGGGGTTGTTTTCCCATTCGGTATGCAACTGTCTCAGTCTATTTGATATTCTTGTCATATTTGCATGTTCGTATAATAATTAGTTTGAATAATAATAAACACCAAAAAACTATTACATAAAATATGATAATAATGCATACCCGTCGTTCCAAACTTTCCCTTTCAAGGTCTTCGTTCTCCATATTTACTGCTTCAAACGATCATGCTTCCTATTTGGATTTCTGCAACCAAAATAAAACCATAAATTGGTTAAACAATATATAGTTATGTTTGATTATTACACCGATGCGAGCAGAAAGCAAACTGTTTAATCCGCAACAATATACATTTTTTCACTGTTTACCCTTAGTCCACATATTTCTAAACATAATTATTTTAATATTATAACTGTAAATATTCTAATAACGATGGTTAGAGTAAAGTATAATACAAAGAGAAAACTAAATTCCCATGCCGCAATAGTCTTTTGTTTGATAGTTAATATTGGCTGATGCTATGTGAATTGAAAACGTGATAAAGTGTTCTACTTACCAACAGTTTCAAGAATATTCTTAAGCTGTTAAATGTTTTAGAGAAAATAAAATACCCCAAATAACGTATCCCATATTGAACCAACTATAAAAGCGGATGATGAGCGAACAGTGTTTTGACTTTTACGTGTTGTATTATATTTAGACTACACTCATTAAAAAATGCCGATCAGTACGGTTATATATAAACTGTTAAGACATTATATCTAGAATAGATATAACAATTACACCGGCTTCTCAATGTTTGCAGTAAATGCCAGAAGAACCATTATTACTTGCAAAATAGCGAAATCGAAATGAATAATACCAGTGCAATTATTTTCAACCTGTAACAAGTAGTCATTCATAATAATAATTACCCTTGAAAGTATTCAGCCTACATTAAAACGAGAATGCATACATACTATATAAGAGAAAATTGTTAAATTGTTGTATAACTAAACGTATACATTTTCCTGTAGAATAAATATTTATTCCTAATGATTTATTGAATGTTGCTGGCAATTTTCTACGGATTTGTTTGCGGTTAAAGATTAACTAATAGAAAGTTGTTCCTATAGCTATTCAATGAAATTGTTGTAATTGCAATTCTCTTTTGCAGGTGATATCTTTCACATTGTATTATAACGGAACTGGATTTGCTAGTATCAGTTACGTGAAATGTGAGCACCGCAGCTCGCAATTTTATGGTTTTATCCGACATTTTATCTACTTATGAAAGAAGTCTTAATACGTTCAGCAAAAGTGGAAATAAGGAACACATTTAATTATATTATGTAAGACTGAAGTGTTATTTTTTTATCCAAATGGACATTAACTCTATTTCTGTTGTCCCGGGAAACCCAAATCGCAACTTTGAACAGGACCTGACTAGAGCAAGTTTTCTAAAATCAAATATCAACTAAATCTTAACGGAACACACCAAGGTGCTCCACAATACTCCCTGAAAATCACTGTAAAAAGATATAACAAATTACTTTTTTAAGCAGTGGCGTGAAACAATATTCTGCGAAATACTTACTAGACATTCGGCCGAGAACATCGTCTGAGATAAACTGTTTTTTTTTTTAATAACATTAAACCAGTGGAATTATAAACTAGATTGACATTTTAACATTTTCAAACTTAATTAAAGTAAAAGGAAACGGCTAAAAAGGTGTTTTCTCTGCATCAACCTTCTAAAATTGCCAAAATAGCAGTTTACGTAATTGAAAAAATCTAAAGTATGATTAGAAAGTCGTTTCATTTAATGGGCATTTTTGGTATAATTGGTAATAGTTGCGTTGCTTTTATTCCTTACAAAACTAAGTATAAAAATAAAATAGTTTTAGTTAATACATTCTGCAATAAGATTTTGATAAGAATAAGGACCCGTTTTTTATATAACAATCAGAGCATTGGGAATTATGAGCTCGAGCATATACATTCTAGGAACCCAGATCATAATTCTGTACATTATACAGGGTGTCCAAGATACAGAACCACTGCATGGGGATCTTCGTAACGAAGTCAGTCAAATTAGGAAAAAGTTGCATAACCAGGGGATCATATACATGGCGTTTGTAACAAGTATTTCTTGGAAATTTTGAGATATTTAGAAGAAAACGTTTATGATTTGTTACGGTCCTTGCGCCAAAAAATAGTTTTTCATAAATTATGTCCGTTTTTCTTAGTAACCGAAAACAAAAGTGAACTTATTTAATACACATTTTTCATTATGCCCGGAAACAATTTTACAAATGAATCGCAAAAGAATAGTGTTAGCTGCCGAAAACATGAACAACAACAAATATCCTGAAACTAACAGGTCAATCTTCAGTCGTCTAGCTTTGTACTTAAAGGAGTAAGTATGGGTCATTTGCAAAACTCAGTAAAACCAGAAAAAACCTTCCAATTAAAAAAAATAATATAACGTTTTTCAAGCAGTTGTTGAAAAACTTGAAATGTCAACAAGGGAAATTGAAAGTCACATTACCAAATAACTACCGCTCTATTCATTATAAAGAGAAATAGCTTTAAGCCTTATAAATTTAAAATTTACCAAGGACTTTAAACTGAACATGAAATTAGAAAGATATTTTGCGACTTTTCGATCGATGAAAATTGCACATTGAAAATTATTTAGTAAGACGAAATCATGGTCACTACCAACGGAATTCTCAATAGGCGTAACACCCATTATTGGGCACAAAACCACCCACGGAAAAAAATATCCAGTCATGAACATCGATTTGGCTTTAATATGACCGTGGTGCTGAATTTTTGGCTCACGAATATTGGGACCTTTTATTCGTCACTACACTTTAACTGAAGAACGTTTTCTATTCGTATTTTCGTTTTTAGATCAAATATATGTACTTATATATATGTACTATGTATTCAGGGACAGAAAGACCGATTAGATCAATAGTGTATTTATTGATGATAAAAGATATACAGGGTCGCTTTTATGCATGGAAACGGTGAATTATTTCCAAAACTAAGATACCTAGAATAAAATTAATACCAAAATTGTAAGGTTATTTCCAGTCTATTTACATAAAGAAAAAATTTAGTATAGAGGAGCAGTCCAAAAGTCACAGCAACGCAATGTTACCTTTTCCTAATGGAACACCCCGTATTTTATTCAATAATTGAATTATTCTCCAAGTTTTAAATAAAAATCGTATTAATTAAATACATTACATACATGTTTTATTTTAACTATTTTGGAGATATCGAGTTTTCAAAATTCTGTTTTGGTGTAATTCGCCAAATTATTAAATCAAATGTCATTCGTCATTTTTCGAAATGTTAAAAATTCGTTTTATGTGAATTATTTGAGCTTTAAAATGGCACGGTTAAGTGAAACTGAGCGTATTGAAATATGCATGAATATGGGATATGGCATTTTAGACACGAAGTACGAATCTATGCCCATGAAACATTTCCTGATGGATGAAATGGATTGGTCGCAGGGGAGTCCCCACTTGACTTTTTTTCTATCATATCATATTAAAAATGCCGTATACAGAAATAGGCCTCAAAATATTGAAGAGTTGCAAGATAGAATAAGTCACGAAATTGCCGGTATTCCGCGGAATATACTTCTAAATTCATTACAAATAGTTAAACAACTTCATTACTGTCAAGGGGTCAACGGCGCGCTCCTTGATCACTTTTTAAAATATAATTTCAATTTAATTAGGAATCAATAAAATTATCCTGTTTATAAATTATGTTTATTTTTCTTTCACCATTCCTGTTTGTGTAAAATGTAAAACACTAAACCTAATAATTTAGCGAATTACAGTAAAAACAATTTCAACAACTCGATATCTTCAAAACTGTTAAAGTTAAGCATGTTAGGTGTTATACAATTTTTGTTTAGAACTTGGAGTAGAAATTATTATTGACTAACATACAGGGTGTTAAAAAAGGGAACTGTGCCTTTATGTTTTCTTCATGTAAATAGACTAGAAAAAAAACCTTTCAATTTTCGTATTAATCATTTTGTTCTAGCTCTCTTAGTTTGGGAAATAATCCACCGTTTCCATACATTCAAGCGACTTTCTATATTATTATCTTTCATACTTAATCCTTTTCAAATTTAATATTTTGTTAAATGAGTTACTAAACTAAGTACGATTTTTAAATCACGCCGTTGTCATAATAGCACAGTATTGATTCCGAGATGTTGATTTTTATGCTATCACAAGCTGTCTTTTGGCAATTTTTTAAAAGTGAATTACCGCCGCAAAATTCAATGACAATCAGATTAAAATCAAAACACTAATACTTAATACATAATATTTATAAACATCCACTTTTTTATGCAATAACATCGTGAAATAGGCGGCGTTTACATACACAAGAAAGTACGTAAGTAGTAATTTAAAATACATTTTATGCATGTTGAGAAATGGAAAGTTTCGTTGTGCATAAAAAAAATGTTTTGTTATGGTTAATTGCTGTAACTATCATGCGATGAATGTAAAATGTTTCCCAAACTTTTCACCGTTTAATTCATATTCTAAACCTATTGTTTCGTGAAACCAATGATTTCCCTCATTCCTTTGCAACCATACTAATTGGTGTGACATAGGTTTCTTCACTTAATGTTAAAAAAACTCTTCATTCATTCGACTGAATATATATATTTATATAAAGACAAGTTTTTGTTTTAAATAAGGAGAAGATCACCCTTATTTTATCATATGGCTTTATCACCGGTTTATTTATATATTTATGAATATATATTATTATTTTATGATAATTCAATTGGCAATTCCAGCCTCCCAAAGTAATCGAAGCACGGAGATTTACGCAGTTATGTGCACAAAGGTGATAAAAGACACAAAGAGGCAGACCTTAATAAAGTCTCCAGTTTTATTTTCGAGGATTTTTTAAGGATGTTATAAAAGCCGATATAAATCATTAGAGAATTATAGACAGTAAATGTAAACGCTACAAACAAGAAAAAATAAGTAATCGTGGTGAATTGTTATTCAATAAAGGTGTTATGAGCAGTTCTTTAAGTCCTGGCAAACGAGATGTTCAATCCGTTTATTGTTGGTGAGAAACAGATAGCTACTGTTTACTACTCTCAACACTGAAGATGCAAAATAGTGAATAATAATGAATTTATCCAGAAGTAGTATGAAAATAAACTTTTCCTGTTGTTTAGACTAAAAGCTGAGTTCATTAGCAGC